ACACCACACACACTCCCTCACACCACACTACACTCACACCACTGCACATCACACTACACACCACACATCACACCCACACAGACACATACACACACTGCACACAGCACATCACACACATACCACTACACAGCGCACACACACACACACACACACTCACCGCTGATTGTTGTGCATGGTGCTGTAGTAAGCATGGCGTGTGGGTTTCTGGGTTGGATGGTAACCTTGCTTCTCTAGGTTGTTTCTGGCACTGGGGCCCTGGGCATACGGCAGTGCTACTTCTAGTGTTTATTTTGGAAACCCTCCATTCTTATCTTCATAGTGGCTGGACTGTAGTGTTTCCACATCCTTACCTGTGTGTGTGTGTGTGTGTGTGTGGTGTATGTGTGTGTGTGGTATGTGTGTGTGTACATGCGTGTGTGTCTGTGTGTATGTGTGTGTGTGTGTGTGGTATGTATGGTCTGGTGGTGTGTGTGTGGTGTATGTGTGTGTGTGTGGTATGTGTGTGTGGTATGTATGGTCTGGTGGTATGTATGTGTTTGCATGTAAAAACGTGTGTGGTGATTGCCATTCTGACTGGGGTAAGATGTACTCTCAGTGGAATTTGATTTATAATTCCTGCCATATTGCCACTAGAATTATAGTCAAGGACCACTGTACTGACCGACCTCCCTCCTTCCTGTCCTCCCTCCCTCCCTCCCTCCTTCCAAGAATCACTTCTAAGTTGATTCATTAACTTTAAAGATTATGTTGTGTGTGTGCATACGCCATAGCACGTATGTGGAGGTTCAAGGACAGCGTGACGGGTTGGTTCTCTGCTTTTACTATGTGAGTTCCTTGAGCCACCTCTCCAGCCCCAACTATCTCTATGTGTGTGTGGTGGGGTACACACTGGAGGTCAGAAGACAGCTTGCCGGAGCCAGCTTTTCCTTCCACTGTGTGGGTCATGGACTCAAACTGAGGTTGTCCCGCTCAGTGGTAAGGGTGTTTACTTGGCTAAGCCACCTCACCAGCCCCTGTGTTGGCTTTTTATTCTAGCACTGGGGCCCTGGGCATACGGCAGTGCTACTCAGTTCTTATGCTCATAAGGCAACCAGTTTGCCAACCAAACCATCTCCCATCCCCATCTTTTACTTTTTTGTTTTGTATTTTTAAAAAGTTCGCTGCGCATAGGTGGCGCACACCTTTAATCCCAGCACTCGGGAGGCCGAGGCAGGTGGATCTCTGTGAGTTTCCAGGCCAGCCTGGTCTACAGAGCTAGTTCCAGGATAGGCTCCAAAGCAATACAGAGAAACCTGTCTCAAAAAAACCAAAAATCAAACAAACGAATAAAAAACAAAAAAAGTTAGTACTCTTGTGTATGAGGGTCATAAATGTGTCACAGTGCACATACAGAGACCCAGAGAACTGTGTGCAATCAGTCTCCTCCCCCTATTTGTTTATTTATTTGTTTGTTTGTTTTGGAACAGTATTTCTCTGCCTAGCCCTGGCTGTCCTGGACAGCTTTCTCCTTTTATCTTCACTTGGGTTCTGGGATAGAACTTGGGTCTTCAGGCTTTCATAGCAAGTGCCTTTAACTGGCAGAGCCATCTTGCTAGACCCCATCTTTTGCTATAGGTAATACCCCCAAATGCAGATCTGAATCACCGAGTGTTCATAAGTGTGAGAAGGCCACGTGCACCTTACAGAGCAAACAGGTATGCCAGGCAGCTTTTCCCACACATGGCCAGTGTCGTCATCTGTGAATCCAATGTTAACTAACAACCGTGCACACAACAGGACAGTTTATGTCTCGATCAGCTGACAAAATCGCCATGACCAGAGGTTCCCAGGACCCTGACCCTGTGCTTGTCTTAGCAGGGTTCATGGGTTGTAACTCATTGTCGATAGCCAACTTTGTAGACACAAACTACACGAAGAGCCAAAACCAACTGTAGTTACATGTTTTTCTTGAGCGATATACATCAGTGTATAGCCCACGACCCAGTGTGATGTGAGCATGTGTTTTCCATGTTTGTGGGAAGGTCAGGCTCTGATGTTTCACGTGCTATGCTGCTTTGCTTGCCTCAGGAGCCAGCCGAGCTGGGTTCCTAGCTGCTCCACTGGGAACCCTGCCAAGCGGAGAGACGCCAGCTTGGGAAGCTGCAAAGTCCTAGAATGTTGTAGCAGCCTCTTCCTGCTTTCCTTGGCTCCTGAATTTCTATTGCTCAGAGGACTGGAGTCTGGAAGCCTCGGGGCTCTGGTGACACTAAACCCCTAAGCCCCAGCCAGTTTGGCCCTCGGTTCCAAGGGAGGGCTTTGAGGGGTTGCCGAGTATCTGGGCAGCAGTGATGCAGCCACCAGGGAACTGCGTACTCCAGCAGGCACCAGCCAGAGCAGGCTTTAAAGACCTTCCTAAGCCCCAGGCACTCTGACTTTTCAAAGCCCTGCCCAAGCCTGTACATTAGGGTGTGCCTGGTCTAAGTTCAGCTGACCTGCCTGTAATACAGAGCTACCGAGTTGCTGTTGAGGTTTTCCTGCAGAGAACGCTGCAGCGGGAGGGAGGGACGGGGCTGGAGCCCAGCCTGAGGGAGGAGGCAGAGGTTGAATCTGTACTGCTGTGGAATCTCAGACCTGCTTCCTGAAGGGTCCCATTGTTGGAGGGTGACGAGACCGGACTGACAGTGGGAGAGTGTGGCACAAACTTGGTGGCCGTGTGGGAAGCCATGAGCTTCCATGTGGCTGGAAGGATACACGGAAAGTGGGTTGTGAGTACTCCCAGGCCGGGCTGAGCGTAGGAGGCTTTGGGCACTGTGCAGACAGGTTCAGACTCCTTCCAGGCATGTGTGTGACCTGATTCTGGTGCCCCAACCGCTGAATGCTGTTTGGATTTATTGCTGTGGTTCGGGTTGATGCTGGGAATTGAGCCCAGGGTCCCCCTTCATTCTGAGTGTGTGCTCTACCACCAAGCCCCATCTCCAGATGAGGTTCCCACCTTTTGAAGGGCCTACCATTCCACTGCACTGGGGGCCAACCCACATCTGAACCATACCAGTCCAGATACATGGCTATCCCTCTCAATGCACTTTTTCTCGTGTGTGTGTGTGTGTGTGTGTATGCTCCTGTGTGTGAATGAAGTCACATACATGCCATGTGTGCGCGCGTGTGCATGAGCTCGTGTGTGTGTGTGTGTGTGTGTGTGTGTGTGTGTGTGTGTCTAGGCGTGTCTTCTTGAGCATACATTTATTTTATGCCGTTTTATCATGTGTAGATAAATATGAGTAGGATTGCGGTCAAGATCCAGAGCATGGGCTGGAGGGGTGGCTCAGTGGGCAAAGGTGCTTGCTGCTAAAACTGAGTTCTATCCACCTGGGGGAAAGAGAGAACTGATTCTCACCAGCTGTCCTCTGACCTCCACGTGTTCCATGCACAGTTTGCCCAAACGTATAATAGATAGATAGATGATAGTTAGTTAGATAGATAGATAGATAGATAGATAGATAGATAGATAGATAGATGAATGTGATAAGAATGAATGGAAACCTAGGCTGGAGAGATGGCTCAGTTAGTAAAATATGAAGACAGGAGTTTTGTTTGCTCTAAACCAAAAAGGTAGAAGGCATCTGTCTTAATCGGAATCCTCTTCTGTGAAGAGACCATGACCCTAGCAGCTCTTATAAATGCGGGCTTACAGTTCACAGGTTTAGTCCATTGTCATCACTGTGCAGAGTGTGGTGGCACACAGGCAGGCACCTGTGTAGCTGGAGAGTTCTGCATTTGGATCCTCAGGCAGCAGGGAGACACTGGGCCTCTGGAGTATTTGAAACCCTAAAGTTCACCGGTAGTGACACACTTCCTCCAACAAGGCCACTTCCTACAGACCAAGCATTCAAACATGGGAGCCTGTGGAGGCCATTCCTGTTCAACCACCACGGCATCCAAGGAACAACACATGCCATTGTCTTCTGAGCTCCACCCATCATACAACCTACATGCACCTGTGCTCTCACACATGTACGAACACAAAGAGGACACTCAGGGCTGGGTGGGAGCAGCTAACAGAGAATGTCAGGCTCTGAGACTGCCCCAGCATGCAGACGAGATTTACAGTATCATCACAAGATCCCGGGCACCATGGATTGTGCCAGTAATATTAAGGGCTTCAGTATGTTGACATTTTTTATTTTGTCTGTGTTTGTTGAACTATTGTTTGGTAGCTTTTAGGACCATGTTTTTCTGAGGAGAATTATGAAAGAGGTAATGAGGAATACTATAATAACCAATATTGGAATTATCAAAAGATTTATTAGGCTTATTAGCCATGAGATAGATTAGATGAGCCCTTACTTTATTTTATGGGGAAAATCTATTTCATGTTTTATAGACACTGTTTCATTATAGCTGTATGCTAATTTTAATTATAAATTATTTCATGCATTCAAATGGTAAACTCCCTGGCTTTTCATTGCTCAATGTGCTGCATTTTCTCCCCCAAACTTAGTAAAACAGCTGGACAAGAGCTCAGTTATTCAGAGAGACTTTTAAAGCCAAGTTTATGTGACTTATTTGAGTGTTATGGACTTATTTCAGACAAATTGAAAGGCATAAAAATAACACTGTTCCTATATTTAATATCTTGCTTAAGACACAGAATGTTGCAACTACTAAAGTCCCTGCTACTGACTAAGAAGTGACTTTTATTTATTTTAACATGTGTTTGTATGTGTAGTGTGCGTGCATGCGTGTTTGGTTGCACATGTATACATGTGGAGGAGACCTGAGATTGGCAACGGATGTCTTTCTCAGTCAGAGTCTGCTTTATTCATTGAGGTAGAGCTGCCAATCATGGCTAGTCTTGCCAGCCAGATTGCCCCAGGGCTCTCTTGTCTCTGACTCACTGGCAAGCGCCGGGATTGCAGAAGGCTGACATACGTGCCCAGCGTTCGTGTGGCTCGGAACAACTGCTGTTGCTCACTCTTCTGCAGCAGTGTCTTTATGCTCTTTATCCATGTGTCTTACCACAGGTCTCCCCACATGGCTGCCGAGGAAGCAACAGTCACAGTTCGCCTCATCCGTTCATTTGAGCATCGAAATTTCAAGCCTGTAGTGTATCATGGAGTTAATTTGGACCAAACTGTGAAGGAATTTATAATATTTCTAAAGCAAGGTAAATAGAGTTGTTTTATTTCATTTGTATTTTGACAATGAAAGACCTCTGACTATGATGTTAATATAACCTGTGAAAAGTACAAAATTAGACCTGTCATCCCAGAACTCAGGACAGAGCCAAGAGAATCGTGCTTTCAGAGCTAGCTTGGGCTGTCTAGGAAGTTTTAGGCCAGCCTAGGCCGTATAGTGACTTTTAGGCTAGCCTGGGCTACATAGCAATATTTAAATCAATCAAGAAAAGCACTGAAGTAGTTTTTCTCCAGTCCACAAGTAGTTTGGAAGCTGGCGCTACCGGGGGCCAGGCTGGCTCCTCGCATCCTGGGCCCTGTCACCAGCTGCCGCAGCTTGTTAGTGAATAGTATAAACATACTCCCCAGGAGTTATTACCATCACGTTCAAAGGAACTAAGATCCAAGGCAGGGGAGGTGACTGCCAAGTGCTTGTCACACAAGCGTGAGGAGGAGGATGTGTGCTTGGTCCTCTAGAATGATGTAATAAAGAAATGGAGGGGAGGTGGAGACAGAGTTCCCCTGGGGCTCACTGTCTAGCCTGCCTGCCTGCCTCATCTCATACAACTTGGGTCCCAGAACCCTGGCTAGAGTTGGCAAGGGAGTGAAGGATGGCCACACAGACAATGAGATTGGGTGGGATTCTCCTAACTGACACCTCTGCTGTCTGGAACCTCAGAGTGTTTATTAGGTCCAGCATGGGATGGGATGGGATGGGGGTTGGCTAGTCTTGTTAAGAGGTCTCTGCAGGTGAGCAGTCCCAGGCTATAAGCTTCTGAGAGGAGGAAACCACACACAGTTGCTAATCTTTGCATGGACTGTTCCATAATCCCTCATACTCAGATGCCCAAGCTTGGCCATCCCTCTTGAGCCTGGCCCATGTGGGTCATGGTTTTGCCAATTCACCATGGACCAATTGGTCTTGGAGGCCTTGCTTATGTCAAAATCCACATTTACTCAGGGCTTGGCTCACTCCGGGCTTCCTCTGCAACTTGCACCTGTCTAACAGTATTGATGAGCTCCAGGTTCAGTGAGAAGCCTGTCTGAAAAAATAAGGTGGAGAGGGATTGAGGAAGGCATCCAGTGTTGACATCTGATCTCCACAGACACATACGCGTACGTAAACACGTACATACACACAAAGAAAGTCAAGTGTACCTGTAGTGAGTGAGTTTATGGCTTTGGAGACTGAGTAGCAAGGGAGTGAAGTGTAGCCCCAGCACACAAGAGCCTTGCTGGGGAGTATGGCGGTGACAGCAGGGAGCTGAAGAAATCAGAAGAGACTGGATCACTGTGGTCACAGAGAAGTCATGCCTCACATCCTCCATGTCTATTCATTGTGTGTGCGTCTGTGTGTGTTGTGTATGCTTGTGTGTGTGTAGATGCCTGTGCCACAGCATGCAAGTAAGAGGACAATTTGCAGGATCAGGTTCCCACCTTCCACCATCCCCATGGGGATCGAACTCAGGCCGTCAGGCTTGGCAGCAGGTGCTTTTACCAGCTGAGCCATCTCACTGGCTCAGAAGTGGAAGTCTTCTGGTGGTGCTGGTTTATTGTTCTGAACATGCAGAGGGTAGAAATCCAGTCATCATCCTGAGACAGCCTCATTGTTCTTCTCTACCGAAGCAGCCCAGAATCATCTGGTACAGCCTCCAGCATGTGCTTTTATTCAAGTGAAGTAAAATTGATCGAGAGTACAGTGCAGCTTTTAATGTAGTTCTGTGAATTGAAAACAATGTGACTTTATATTTGCCGTTGTAGTTTTCCATTTTGCACCTGCGTGTGTGTGTGTGTGTGTGTGTGTGTGTGTGTGTGTGTGTGCTCGCATGTACATGCATGCATGAGGAGGCCTAAGGGTGATGTCAGGAATCATCCTCTATTGCTCTCCCACCGTATTCATCGAGGTGCAGAGTCTCTCAGTGAAATCTAGAGTTCCCTTACAAGGCTGTTTTTGTCAGATATCACAGGGTATCTGGCTTCTGCAGTTGGGGTTATAGCATGCCCACTGTCTTAGTTAGGGTTTCTATTGGTGTGAAGAGACACCATGACCACAGCAAGCCTTGTATGGGAAACCATTTGATTGGTACTAGCTTACAGTTTCAGAGGTTTCCTCCAATTTTGAGCATGGCAGCGTGTAGGCAGGCAGTGCTGGAGTGGTAGCTGAGAGTTATGTGTTTTGATCCATAGGCAACAGAAGTAAACTGTCTCTCACACTGGGCATAGCTTGAGCATCTGAGACCTTAAAGCCCACCCCCACAGCGACACGCTTCCTCCAACAAGGCCACACCTCCTAACACAGCCACTCCCTATAGGCCAACCATCCAGAACCTGAGTCCATGGGGGCCACACCTATTCACGCCACCACACCCACCCACTGGGCTCTTGGGGTCTAGTTGTCATGCTTTAACCGTTAAGTCATCTCCCCAGCCTGTGTGTGCGCATGTGTATGCAGGCTGTGTGTCATGAGAAAGAAGGTTGCCGGAGTTGGGGTTACTTTTCAGGGACTTGAACGCCCCTTTGATTTAAAGCCTTTACTTTTCTCTTGGGTCTGTGTAGGTGTCTCTTGGGTGACTAAAACAAGGTGACAAAGCTAGGCGTTTCTGCATCTGTGTTGTGTCTATCTGTCCCTTTGCTACCCTAACTTTTGGGTCAGATTGTAGACATGTCAGTCACTTAATGTATACTTGGGAGGTGGTAAATAAGGGCTTGCACTAAATTCATCCACTCTTTCTTCTCTCTTCAAGAAGTGCACATAGATACACACAAATAATTTTAAAAAACTTAAAACTTACTAAAATCATTTTTTTTTTTTTTTTTTTTTTTTTTTTTTCTGAAGCTTTGCCGTCTGGCACACTCTGCTGCCCCCTGCAGGCTGATGAGAGGCACTACAGTCTTCTAAGGTTGCTCTGGGAGAAAGGGTGGGCTTTGTCTTAGGCAAATGGAGGGCAGAGAGCCCCGGGCTCCGGCTTTTAGCTCCAAACAGTCCTTGTGCCAGGGAGGCATATATTGTGGTGGCATGTTCTCATCACCTCCAGTGCCAATTACAGAGTGGCCCGCTTTTGGAAAGTCATCCCTCAGCATATTCGAAGTTTGTACAAGCATTTCTAGTTATTTTCTAATTATTTTACATTTTTCTCTGTGTGTGCCTGCGTTCATGCGCGTGCCTGTAGCATGGTAAATAAAAGACCCAGAGACAGATAATTGGGGTTCAAGCTTCAAGCTGAAGGTCAGAGAAGCAAAGCAGCCGGCCACTAGCTCTCACCTCTTCCTATGCTCAGGCCAAAGGAGTGGGCGAATCTCAGACTGCTCCTGACTTCACTGCTCCTCAGATTCACTCAGACTGATGTGCTCTCCTCCACATGGCTAGAGACGGACTCTCAGGCTGAACGTCTCTACCTTTTATACCTCCCAAATCCTGGATTAAAGTCGTGAGCTCCGATTCACTCTCTGGTAACCCAGGGTGGTCTTGGACTCAGAGACCCACCTGCCTTTCTCCTGAGTCCCGGAATTAAAAGTGTGTACCGCCACCACCCATGTCTATAGCCTGGGGCTGCCTTTGCTTTCTGAATCTTCAGGCAAGCTTTAATAAATCATAAATACTATATCATCACACATGCCAGCATCTTGTGCATGTGTGTGTACCACAGTGTATGTGTGTGGAGGGGGAGGAAGTCATTCTCCCTCCTGCCGCATGGGTCCCAGGGATGGAACCCAGGTTGTCAAGCTTGGTGACGGGTGCCTTTACCAGCTGCTGAGCCATCGCCCATGTGTTCAAGTCTTCACAGGTGCGGAGGGCTCTAGTGTTTCTTGCCATCAATGCAGCATGAGCGTGATGTTCTTGGTCAGGCACAAGAGGATCCTCTCCAAGTCCTCGGGAATAAGATGTGATTTTCAAGTTGCTATGGTGGCACGGGAAGTAGTGGTTTCCCTGGGACACTCTGTTCTTTGCCTCCCAGGTACCACAGAATGATTCATTCACAGTAACGATTGGTTATCACTCTCCCCCACAGAATAGCGGTGCCTGTCATCGCTAGATGCTCAGGCCTGCCTGCTTGACCTTTTCACCCGCCACAGCAGTGACGTAACTACTGCCTGTTTCCTTTGAGTATGTGGGGAATAGCTGTGAAAGTAAACTAGGGCTGGCGGGGATGTTACGTAGTGCTGACCGGACACGCTCAAGGCCCTGGCTCCATCCTAAACACTGCACAAACTGGGCATGATGGTGCACACCTGTCACCCTAGCACTCAGAGGTGGAGGCAGGAGGGTCAGGGGTTCAAGGTCATTCTCAGCTACTTAGGGCGTTTCAGGCTAGCGTGTGTCACAGGAGACTTGGTGTCAAAACCAAACCACACCAAACCAACCCCCCAAAAAACAACAACAAAAACCCAAACCCTTTAGGGTATGGGCTCTTTTGAGCTTTTGTCCCAGCCTGTGGTCTGATTTGAGGTCCTAGAGACCTCTGAAAAGTTGGTGGAGTCATGCATTTTGTGAATTGTATGCACAACAAAGGCCGTGCAGTTTGACAGTGGAAAATGTTGGAATAGTAATAATGAGGGCTAGCCTCACTTAGATCAGGGACCGGCTCGTTTCTTCCGGTTAGCCTCTCTTTAGAGCAGGAATTGGTGGTATCCCCATTTTAAAAGAAAGAAGAACAAGGAAATGGAAAGTATGGGGCTGAGAGGAAGTACGGGAAGAGAGAAATTCAGTAGCAGCGATGGCTCAGTCGCTACAGGGCTTGCTGTGCAAGCATGAGGACCTGAGTTCAATCCCCCCACACTCAGGAGAAGGAGCTGGGCATGGTAGCACACGCTTGTTATCTCAGTGTTCGGGGACAGCAGCCGGCCGGAGGATTCCAGGGACTGACTCCCTGGCGAGCCAGCATAGCCTGCTTAATGAGTTCCAGACTCATGAGAGACCTGACTCAAGACCAGTTAGGCCGGTGCGATGGCTCAGCAGGTTAGTGACCCACCCTTCTACAGCGCTCCACACCTCAAGTCCTAAACCTCCCCAGTCGGCATCACCGGTCGGTCGGGGAACCGAAGGTTCCAAAATATTCAGAGCACAGCAGGGTCTCACTACGTAGCCAGGGCTGCCCTCGGTCAGGTGGTCCTCTAGCCTCAGCCTCCTAAGTACTTAGGCACATATTTTGATTATGGAAATACCATGATTCCTGATGTCAATGGCCAGCTTTCCAAAGTAGAATCGGGAGAGTGCAGACACCAGTCACGTGGGCGAGAGGAGATTTCAGGTATTGGTTGCTTTAGAAACATTTCAGTATTTTCCAAGACTTCAAAGCCTGCTGTGCCTGTGCTGAGCTGTGACTGATGGCCTTGCCCAGCCTTTGGGTTCTTGTGAAGCAGCCCTGCTCTCCCTCCCGAGGCTGCACTAGAGCCTCGCCGCTGCTGTAAGAGTGTTTTTCTCTTTCTTCTTCTTTTCGGTGCATGTGTGTGCACGTCCATGTTGGTATGTGTATGTGAGCGCCGATGTGAGTTTATGTGTACCATGTGTGTGCAATTGTCTGTGCAGGACAGAGGTGTTGGACCCCCCTGGAACTGGGGTTGCAGGCAGTTACCAGCCAGCTGATGTGGGTGCTGGGAATGGACCCCTACAGGAGCAGTATGCATGTTGAACCACTCAGTCATCTCCCCAGCTTCCTGCTCTCTTTTTGTTTGTTTGTTTGAGATAGGGCTCTCCTTGGTTGCTCTGGAGCTCACTGCTGGGCTAGCTGGCCTACTTCCTGGCTCAGCTTCCCCTACCCAGTGCTGGGCCACAGGCACGCACAGCTACACACCCATCTTTACACGGATGCCAGTTATTGGGGCTTCGGTGATCGTGGTTATGCGGCAGGAACTTTGCTGACTAAGCCATTTCTTTAGCCCCAAAGTTGCCTCGTTGCCTTTTTATCTATGTATGTTTGCATTTGCTGATCCCAGTTTCCTCTCTTAACATCGTACATTAGAATACTACAATGGCTACAGTTAATGAACTGATAAACACAGACCACCACTGACTAAAGTTTATTCTAGTTTCTTTCTTTCTTTTCTTCCTTGCTCAAGGTTTCTAGGTGGGATCCCATTTTACACTTCATTACCACGGTTTTGTTCTAAAACATTATTTTATTATTGTTGTGTGTAGTGTGGTGTGATATGTGTATGCACTTGCCTGTGTATCATCAAAGGACGAGTTTGTGGAGTCATTTCTTTCACCTGTCCAGGGGTGCTGGGGGCCAAACTCAGGTCATGTGGATCGTGTGGCCTCTTACCGGGTCCATGGCTGTCTGGTGTCCTTAGCTCCTCTTGGCTGTGATGGTTGATCAGACTTCGCACGCTCTGGCAGCCCTGGGGACCGGTTGATTTATGGGAGGTTCCCTTTGGTTAGAGTTTGCTGGGAAGTCTCTACGTGGTTGTGGGGCTTCAACTATGTGGCAGGAAGGTCATGGAGACCCAGGCACCCTCCTCACATCCTGTTGAGACCGGCCGCCTTCCAGCGCTCTGTGCTGGCTGGCGGATGCCCTGCAGTGGGACATGCCACTGTAAAATTGTGCCTCCCCCCCCCCCCACTTCAGGCTCTACTTTCGCCTTTTGTAACAGGGTCTCACTTCTTGCAGTCTGTTGTCAAACTGGCTGTGTAACTGAGAATGACCTTCAGCATCTAATCCTCCTGCCTCTACCTCCTAAGTTTTTGAATTGCAGGCGTAGATCGATTCACTAAACATAAACCAGGAACTTCACTCCTACCAGGCAAGCTCTCTGGCAAGTGAGCCCGGGCCCTGGGGCCCATCGTTTGGAAGTTACTTCTGTGCACAGTCTGCAGTTGACGATCAGGGAGTTCTTCCTCACTCCTGCCTGAGGGTGGGCTTTCTGTATCGTTTGTGTTAATCTTGAGCTCATTGATATTTATATTTACACTTATATTAACTGGCTTGCGTCGCTGTAGCCCTGATGTTTGGTTTTCAGTTGGTATTCCTGGCATGCGTGCACATGTGTACACATGCATGTGTGTTAAGTATTTCACTTTTGGTACATGTTCCAGCCCACAGCCACTGGGCGTCACTAATTACCTCCTTGGAGCCTTGATGCTCACAAGAGCCAGGGCAAGGGGTTGACAGTGTTTCTTCCTTCTCCAGGGTTTACGAGTATCTGCCACACCCCAGGGATGATTTTTAGACAGTAACTACACAGTAAGAAAAGCAGGCCGTGGTCTCTGCCCAGGATTTGAAAGGGTAGTCTGTAGTGCCTTAATCTTCAGGGATTTATGAATAGCGGAGAACGGAGACTTTAGGTAAACCAGCATGGCTACAGTAACGTGCAAGGAGCTAGTGCCCAGGGGCTGTCGGGGGACGTGACAGTGAGGATGAGGTGTTGGCCATGTCCCCTCGCCTGTCATCTCCACATGACAGACAGACACCGTTGTCTGACTCAGGGCACGCCGCCTAATTTGTCATCAGTGGCAGACATTCCGTGGATTTCCTTTTTCTCTCCCTTCCCTCCCTTTCCCAACCTCCTTTCCTTCCAGCCTGTATACTATTTGTTTTTTTGGTTTTGGTTTGGTTTGGTTTTTTTGTTTTTGTTTTTGTATTTCATTTATTTGTTTGTTTGTTTTGAGACAGGGTTTCTCTGTGTATCTTTGGAGTCTGTCCTGGAACTCGATTTGTAGACCGGGCTGGCCTTGAACTCACAGAGATCTGCCTGTCTCTGCCTTCCAAGTTACTGGGATTAAAGGCAGGCACCACCACCCCAGCTAATTTTTTTTACTATTTATTTATTTATTTATTTATTTATTTATTTATTTATTTATTTATTTAACTGCTGGAGAGACAGCCCAGAGGCTAAGGTCTCATCTTGTTCTTCCAGAGAACACAAGTTTGGCCCCCAGTACCCATGTTGGGCAGCTCACACTGCCTAAAACTCCAGCTCCAGGGGAATCCAATCCCCCCCCCTTTCCTCTGCAGTCTCCTGAAGTCATGTGTGTATACCCTCCCCACACACATAATTGACATTAATAAAAATAAATCTTGAGCCCAGGCTGGACTCAAACTTTTCTGTGTAGCCAAAGATAACCTTGAACGTCTAATCCCCCTGCCTCAGCTTCCCCAAGTACTAGGAATTTATCTTGTGTCACCATTCCTAGTTTATGCAGTGCCAGGATGGGAACCCAGATCCTCGTGTTTCTTTACATGTGCGTTCAGGGTGCACATTTAGGTGAGCACACATTTTTATGGAGGCCGGAGGTCAATGTCTAATGTCTTCCCTTGATCATTCTCCACCTTCATTTTTTGAGAAAGGTCTGCACTAAAGCTGAAGCTCATTCATTGGGCTGGGGTGACTGCTGGTCTCCAGGGCTCCTTCTGGACCCCTCCCTCCCCCAGGGCTAGGGTTGCAGAAGTATACCACTATTGTCTGACAATATCTGTGGGTCCTGGGGCTCCAAATCCAGATCCTCATGCTTAATGAAGCAGCTACTTTTTCTGCCTGAACCTTCTCGTCAATAGTTCCAATAGTTCCACTGAATTCTCAGTTCAGTGACCACCAGCTCAGCATCTCAGCGATGGTTTCGTTACAGTAGGTGGCCCCTGGACTCTGATGCTACATTAGCTCCATTTTGTCTAAGTTTTAAAATTAGCTTGGTCTGTAATTGGAGATGTGGTTCCGCTGGGAGTGAGCCTGCCTGGCATGTACAAAGCCCTGAGTTTCATAGTAGTTCCATGTAAGCCAGGCATGGTAGCATACCTGTAATCCCAGCACTCAGGTGAATCAGAAGTTCAAGGTCATAACTGGTTACATATGGAGTTCAGGGACAGCCTGAGCTATGTGAGACCCTGCTCAAGGAAAGGAAAAGGGGGAAAGAATCCGCCCTGTGAGTCTTAGAGAACAGGACTGAAAGAGTCAGCATGCTATTTGAATATTTTGTAACAAATTATCATCATTCTGTCTTGCAGATATCCCTTTGAGAACCAGCTTGCCTCCGCCACTCAGAAATTACAAATATGGTAACTAATTTTTCTTACTATTTTAAAAGATGCATTATTTTTGTTGGTGTGAGTTTAAATGTGGTGTTCAAATATTAATTTACTATAAAATGAAGTCATTTTGGAGGGGCAGGAGGCTTAGCTTAGTGAAGGATGTGTGCTTAGCATGGGTAAGTTTGTTTTCAGCACACACACACACACACACACACACACACCCCAAGGGTATCTACATACACTCACAGTCTATTATGCATATATATGCCTTGTTATCTTTATATCATTGATGTTGCTTAGCATATGAATCAGAGATGCTTTTGAGGGTCTTTGGCTATCTACCTACCTACACACACACACACACACACACAGAGAGAGAGAGAGAGAGAGAGAGAGAGAAGCTGGAAGTTTGGTAAGGGATATAGGAGTCAGCGTGTGTGAAGGTCAATTGTAATTGTGTAGGGAAGTAATGTGCTTGTGAGGGATAACATGCTTGGCAAAACTGTTTATAAATGTGGTTTCTTTGCCAGATAATCAGAGAAGAAAAAAATGGAAGGGGTCTAAGAATGAAGAGACGTAATTTAGGGTTTTGGATGTAGCTCCATCAGATTACACAGTTGCAGGAATCCCTGGGTTTCATGAATAAAACGCAGAGTGTTGGTGCATCCTTGTAATCCAGTGTGCTGGTGCACACTGGTAATCCAGCAGTCAGGAGATGAGACAGGAGAATCTGAAGTTGAAGGTCATTATCAGCTACAAATGGAGCTCAAGGCCAACCTGGAATGCATCTGACCCTGTCGCAGAAGTGGCTTAGCATTTTAGATGCCAATAACGTGAACATGCTCCAGCTATGTGCTGCAGCTAGTGACCTAAACAACAGGAGCTGAGGGTGGGCTGGCTTGTTTGAATGTTTACCTTGCATGCACAGAGTGAGACCCCTACTACTGCATCAAATGAGTAGTCCCGTAGCACCCGGGAGGTGGAAACAAGAGGGTCCAAAGTTCAAAATCATCCTTAGGTATAAAGCAAGCTATAAAGGCTGGCCTGGGATACATGAGGCCCCGTCTCACTGGTAGGTAAGTAGGTAGGTAGGTGTGTATGTATGTAGGTAGACAGACAGACAGACAGACAGACAGACAGACAGATAAGGGCTGGTGAGATGGCTCAGCAGGTAAGAGCACCTGCTGCCAATCCTGACAACTTAAGTTCAATCCCTGGGACCCACACATAATGGAAAGAGAGAACTAAAATTCACAAGTTATCCCCTGCCTTGGCACACATGTATGCACATACATACACACACACAATAAATAAAATGTAGTAAAACATAAAAATACCGGTAACAAAAGCCAGAGGCTATGTGTCATTATTTGTTATGAAGACCATCTAGGCCCTCATCCTCCAAGAGGCACTGAGCAAACTTGGATTTGAGTCCCTGCTTGAGAGTTACAGTGCATCTAATAAATATTTCTGCTAATTAGCACAGGCATTTGAAAGTGTAAATTTTTTATTACCTTAAGTCCTTTTCTAGAGTGGCTTTTCATTCCATTCCCATCTGATAGGGCAACCAATGACCTACAATCTTTCGAAATCACAGTCTGCGTGTGCCTGCATTTTAATACCCAGCGTCTAATTGTGAGGTTGCAGAGGCGGCCGGGCAGGAGGCAGAAGCACTGAGTGGAAAGTACTTTGATTTATGAGCCCTCAAGCATTTACATACGCAGTAGTGGAGCAGACAAAGGAGTAAAAAGCATGATTGAGGTAAATATGAAACTTCCCAATTGTGCCTTTCACTGGTTTTGAAGGAGAACGCCTTGAATAATACCTCAAAATCTTAAGTTTGAATCCACCTGCAAATTACAGTTTCTCCTTTTGCATATGTTGTGTGTGTATGTGTGTGCGTAGGCAAATGTATGTAAGGGCAGGTCTTTTAAAAGATAACTTTTAAGACAACAAAAGCAGAGCTGGGGAGATGGCGATGGCTCATTTGATAAAGTGCTGGACAATCCTCCAAACCCTTATAAAACATGCTGGGCACAATGGCACCTGTTTGTAATCCCAGAGCTGGGGAGGCAGACAGGTATCTTCTTGCTGGCCAGACCAGCCTAATGTAACCAACCAGTGAGAAATTCTGTATCAAAAATAAATAAATGCATAAGTAAATAAATTAATAGCAGGATGGATGGCTCCCGAGGAAGGACAGTCCAAGTTGTCCTCTGACCTACACACACACACACACACACACACACACACACACACACACACACACACACGTACATACACGTACATATGCAGTATACATTCTCTCTCATACACACTCTATATAAAACAAGATAGTGTAGCCATCTCTAGATTGCTCAGTCTCACTGGGGTAGAAAATGGCATGTAGAACAACTGTCTCATTAACGTCCTTGCATCACGGCGCCTCTGCATGTTCAGATGACCAGACAGGACCTTGGGGAGGAGTTGCAGGAGCACTGGACCCTGACAGGTGTGGAGATGCTCTGTGGCCGGGTCCGGCTGCGGAACAGTCCACTGCTTTGTGTCACTTAGGAAAGGCTTCGTGCCAGCTTTCCACCTACCCTGGTTACCTGGTGCTTGTCTGGCTCGTGGCAACGGAAGGGTACATGAGCGTGAAGGAGTGGAGGGCCCAGCATCAGGGTTCCTTTCTGCTGCAGGTCACCGGTTCCCTGCTGTTGGGTGAAGGGCCCACTCCTACAGCCTCCAGTGTCTGTGATTGCTGAGACCCTCCTGCTATTTAATGAGCATCTACAGCTGTTGATTGAGCCATTTATCCCGGGGCTCGGCTGCCATGCATTTAGATACGCAGCAATCCCAACTTGTCTACACTCTGCTAAGCCTTGTATGTGGTTCTTTAGATTTTATTTATTTATTTATTCATTCATTCATTGTTTGTTTGTTTCAAGACCAAGTCTCTCTGTGTAGCCCAGGCTGACCTGGAACTCTCTATGTAGACCAGACTGACCTCAAACTCATAGAGATCTGCACATCTCTGCTTACTGAGTGCTGGGGTTAAAGGTGTGCATCACTACACCCAGCTAGCCTGGTGTATTTTTGATGCAGGGACATTGTTCTTTACTTTCCTTGGTTTTGCCCATTTCTATTGAAGAGACAAATCTGGGTGAAAATTCTTGCTCACACATTTTTTTTTGTCCTGCTAAGTAAATGTAGCTTCCCCTATAGTGGGTTTGCTAACCCTACTGGAACATTTCTTTCACATTAGGGTCTGGGAGATTTCTCAGCAGTTAGAGAAATCGTTGCTTTTGCAGAAGACTCAGGTTTGATTCCCAGCACAGACATGGCCTTTCACAGCCACCCTCAATTCCAGTTCCATGGGAACCAAATGCCTTTGGGTGGCACCAGCTCTTTCATGGTGCATATACATCCACTCATGCACACATAATAGAAAACAAATCTAAAGTATGTATTTTGCATTGTACGATAGCTCATTTGTTTGTAGTTGTGTAGATAGAGGACTGTACATCTATGCAGGTGTGTGTGGACATCTGGTATTTTCCTCTAGCACTGTCCACCTTACTTGTTTTGAGACAGGGCTTTCACTGAACCTGGAACTCACTTGGCTGGACTTGACCAGCCAAGTGAGCTCCAGGGCTCTACTGGTCTCCACCTCTCCAGTGCTGGGATTATAGATGTGTGCCACTAAACCTGGCTTTTTTACATGGGTTCTGGGGATGGACCTCAGGTAAGTCAGCACTGTACTGACTAATCCCTCTCTCCAGCCTGACTGTAGAACATAATGAGTAATCCACAGTGTATGAACGAACGTGGTGGCTTGAAAGAAAATGGCCCCCAAAGGGTGGCGCTATTAGGAGATGTGGTTGTTGGAGGAAGTGCATCACTGTAGAGGTAGGCTTTGAGGTTTCCTATGCTTGGGGTACCACCCAGCGAGTCAGTGGCATCCCAAGATATAGGACTCTCAGCTGCTCCTCCATCACCACGTCTGCCTGCATGCCGCCATGTTTCCTGACACGATGATAATGGACTGAACCTCTGAAACTGTAAGCCAGCCACCCCAATGAAATGTTTTCATTTATAAGAGTTGCCATGGTCATGGTGTCTCTTCATAGTGGAGAACCCAACACTTGTAGAAGTCATGTACACAGAATCCCTCTGTCTGCTGTGTAACTGGGACTTATTATTTTAGAGTTAGAGGGGTCTGTAAAGTGTTTTTAAATGCAAGAGTTTACATGGTTTGTGGTTGCAGACAGAATCCATAATGGTGGAGGAAGCAGATGCCTGATCAGATAGCGCAGAGATCACAATCTTCAACCATATGCAGATGGCAGAAGATTCAGGGTTCGAATGTCACCCAAGTGTAGAGAAATAGTATGTGGCAAAAATGTGGTATGGCCTGGCTTCAGCACAAGTAGTTACAGAGTGCGGTTGTGTTCAAATGAAGCAGGTTCAATGGGTAAAATGCTTGCCTAACAAGCAAACTATCTGAGTTTGCCTCCCAGTACCCTCTCAAAATGCTAACTCTGGCAGGGCAGAGACAGGAAGATCCCTGGAGACTGGCCCTCCATCTGGATGAGTATGTGAATTCCAGGTTCTGCAGGCTAATAGGGACTGAGGAAAAACACCTGATCCCGACGTGACCTCAGGACCAGAGCTTGAAATCACGCCAGTCCCTGAGTTTGCCCCTGAGTCAGGCTGCAGAATCCCACCAACCCCTGAGCACAGAGTTCCACCAACCCCTAAGATCCCTGAGCATGAAATCCCACCCGTCTCTGAGCTTGCCTCAGAATTAGGCTACAAAACCCCACCAATCCCAAGCCACCCTGGAAAAGCCCCCCCACCCACCCAAGAAACCCCATATAAACCGGTACTCTGCTGCTGCTCCTGGATGTTTCCTTCCCAGTAACTCTTGAGTGAGGTTTGTTATGCCGTGTGATGACTTTTGACTGAGAAGCCCAGCAGTATTAGAAATGTATGTAGAAAGCTGTTAAACTTTCTCCTGAGATGAAGTGGAGCAGAATTGTAACACTTTTGATGGGGAAACATTCCCCTAGTGAGGCCCAGCTGTATCCCTTCTCTGGACCGGAGCAGATATGTGCCAGATATGTGCTGGCTTTGCTGAGGAAGACCTCTGCTGCCCAGGCAGAGTTGTTACACTTGCATTGGGGAAATCTTTCCCTGGAGCAGAGCTGCAAACTGCAAAGCTTACAGTGACTTTGTGATTTTCCTTGGTTCCCAGCTGCCAGGGTACCTTTCCATCTGAGCTCCAACACTGACAGGTACAGTGAAAGGCTGCCTCTAAACCCTGGATGGAGAGCAATAGGGGAATACACCTGGCAGCAATCTCTGTTCTTCATGTGTGTGCGTGCACATATGAGCATGCATGCTATGCACCCATACATGCATGCATGCATGCAACCATACACACATGCATACTCATGTGTATACACATGCCAAAATGTGATAGATGCATGCACACATGTGTGCATGTGCAGCCACAGACATGTATGCACCCCTACACACAAGTGCACATATATACACAAAACGAATAACAGATGTTGGTGTCTTGTGGCCGTTGGTGTGCTTGCCTGACCATTGAGCCAAGAATGTTTGAATTCTGAATGCACTTTTTCAGTCCAGCTATTTGACTTGCAGGCCTTGTAACTGCCCCGAAGGATTAGGGATTTTTTTAAAAGCTACTTTTCTTCACTTGTATCTTTTTTTATTTTAAAGACATGCAGCCTTGGCCAGAACTTGCTCTGTAGGCCAAGCTGGCCTGGAACTTATAGAGATCTGCCTGCCTCTGTCTCCTGCCTAGCTGTCCCTTTTTAAGATTTATTATATGGATGTTTTTAATGTTCACTCTTAGCTTTTAGTGGCTCTAGAAGATAAAATGGAGTAATGTATTTGCTGTTTAGAGTTCCAGCTCCTCTACTCCACTGTCACATGTCAAAGGCCTAAGCTTTGAACCCACATGGGCATGTCTGGCCCACAGGCCTCGTGAAGCCCAGTACAAAAGTGACACTTACCTACAACGTTGTCAAGTTTCCTGTAATTTGTTTCTGGTAATTCAGTGGCTCCTGCTTATGAACTTTGTAGATGACAGTTTCGTTTATCACTCAATGTGAAAAGGTTGCACACCTCTCAGTGTAAAGTATCTTTGTGTATCTTTCTCCCTCCCTCTCTGTCCTTTCTCTTCCTTTCCCTCCTCTCCCGTTTCTCCTTGTGGTCCCTCCTTCCTCCTGCCAGAACCTTCATAGGCCAGGAGAGCAGTCCACCACTGAGCTCCACCTCTGAACTCCTACACTTTGAATAATTTGCTAAAGTGCATTTTCTTTTACAGCAGGGCAGATTTTAAATAGGTACATTTGTAAAGAAAGACTTTTGGATTTTCCAGTTCCTTCATTTAATGATCACAACAGAGGCTTTAGATAAATCTGGGTGAACTAAGAACTTGTTTTGTTTCTCTTTCAGACACACTAAAGATTCTTCATCAAGCTCACAAAGCAAAGGTGTGTCTGTGGGTGGGGTATCTGGTGGGTGCGGTTTCTGATGGGTGCGGTTTCCGCTATACCAGTTTCACAGGTGTTGCTAGAATTGGGAGTAGCAAATGGAAATGGGTGTCTAAAATGTCTCCTATTTTAGGAATTATTTGTTGGGGGGGATTGCTTTCTATAGCCTTCCTTCCCAATTAAAGGGGGGGGGAAAGTAGGGGCTGGGATGTGGCTCAGTCAATAGTGTTTACCTTGCAGGTGTTGGGACCTGAGTTTGGTTGCCTGGCACCCAGGTAAAAGTCAGATGCACTGGGAAGGTGGAGCCAGGTCAGCCTCGCCGAATTGGTGAAGTCCAGGTTCAGGAAGACCCTGTCTCAGAGACCTCAGAGACAGAGGTGAGGAAGCATTTTGAGTGTGGGCTGTGACCTGCTGTCTTGAAGGCTGGCTTTAGTTACCAAACTGCCAACATGGTAGCTTGTGGAGACCTAGCCAAGGTACACTGATCTGTGTGCACGCCAAGCATCACCACGTGTATTGCTGAGGCTTAGCTGGCCTGGATCACAGGTTTGACAGTATGGATGCCAAGTGTGTCCTGCTCACCAGTGTGTGAGCGAGGGCGTGGCGGAGGGAGACTTTGGGGAGCTCATGAGGACGTGGCAACTCGGGAAGGATTGTGGATTCAGCTGAGGAACTGGGTAAGGAGTAAGAACGGGAACACCATGTCTCCATTTGTCTCGTATTGTTGTGGGCCGTACTCGCCAACTTCAGCTCCAACTATGGCTCCTGGCATCGGTGTTTTCTGATTAGATTGTCTTTACCCGACCCCCAGGTCTGTCTTCTCTATATGCACCTGAGGGTTCTCCATGATGTCTCAAAGTAAAGACTTTAGAAGAGAAGAAATGACAACAGTAAAAATACCAGAGAGCAATTGAAGAAAGTAGAAAATTGTTATGGACATATGGCATTCGCGTGCACATTTATAATCATGTATATGTACATGTACCCCACATACCTGTAAATCCAAGTCAGGGCCAGTGAGATTGTTCAGTGGATAAGGCACCTGTTGCCAAACCTGACATCCTGAAGTCAATCCCCTGGGACCTACATGGTGGAAGTTGTCCTTTGACCTCTGTTATGGGATGCACACAGCCATTCATCATACACACAATTAATAAATAACATGAAATTTAAGATTTAGAAAGCTAATTCATGTGTACTTGTTACTAGTAGATTTTTAAAGTGTAAAATGCCAGGTAATGGTGACACATGCATTTAATCTCAGCACTTGGGAGGCAGAGACAGGAGGATTCCAGTGAGTTCAAGGCCAGCCAGTAGCAAGCTTTCTTTTTTGGGGACTGCCAGCTCCCCAATAATGACATGGAGGCTTACTATTAATTATGAAAGCTTGACCTTTAGCTTAGGCTTGTTCCCAGTTAGCTCTTATAACTTAAACTACCCTGTTCCTATTAATCTGCCACATGGCTACTACCTCTCGCCCTCTCTGTCTGATGCTTTCTGTGTCTCACTGGCATCCCTTGTGCACCTAGATTAATCACGAGTTCCTCTCTCTCTCCCTGGAAGTCCTGCCTATCTCTCCTGCCTAGCTATCTCCACTTAGCTCTTTATTAAACCAATCAGAAGGCGCATTAGGCAACGGTACAGCTTTACATGGTACACAAAGATTATCCTTCAACACCAGCCTGGTCTACATAGGGAGTTCTAGTATAGTTAGGATTACATAGAGAGACCCGGTCTCACAAAAACAAAACCAAAACAAATGGAAAAAAAAAAAAAAAAACCAAAAAATGGGGTGGGAGAAGGGAATGTCTGTGTAAAAAGAATGCCTACCATATATTTATACAAAATAGGCATAAAATGTGGTAAAAAACCCAGGTTGTGTAAAGAATCCACTTGTCATCTGGCAGCCTAATCCCTTCCTAATTCTATACCAGAAACACAGTTCCAGAAGCAAACACTGGAACCCTGTGTATGGGTGCTGGCCACAAGAGCCCTGGTGGGTGCTGTCACAGAGGCGCAAGGTGTCCCTTACCCGAAGAGAGCTGTGTGTGTATGTGCTTTGTGCTTTCATTCATATGTTCTTGACTATTCAGGTGCTTCTCAGACAGGATGGGAACATCTTTTCTCTTGAGCCTCCGTGGCCTTTCACAGACTCCTCATTAAAAATGTCAACTCATTCTTAGATTAACTACTCAAGGATACGGGACACACCTTTGTGGGGGTATGAGTATGTTTGTGTGTACATGTGCGTCTGCACGTGTGTGTGTGTGTGTGTGTGCGCACACACATGCGTGTGCACGCGGGCGTGGAGACAGGCGTGCACATGCATATGAAGACCAAAGGTCAACACTGAACATCTTCCTGGATTGCTCCCTGCTTGTTATTTTTATTTATTTATTTGTTTGTTTGTTTATTTATTTATTTATTTATTTATTTATTTGACACTCACTATGTAGGTCGTCATGGCCTGGAACTCACTGTGTAGGCCAGGCTGGCTTCAAACTCACTGAGATCTGCCTGTGCCTTGGGAATGCTGGGGTAGGAGGCATATGCCCCCATGCCTGGCTTCCACCTTACCTTTTAGACAGGGTCTCTCACTGAACCTGGGGCTCATGATTTGGCTACATTGCCTGGCGTATCCCCAGGACCCTCCTTTCTCCACAGAGCCAACACTGGGATTGCACTACCATGCCCAGCTTTTGAACTCAGGTCCTGGCACTTTTGTGGCAAACTTTAGTGGCTGTACCACATTCCAGTCCCAAGGGGCCATATCTTGTTATTCATGCCTCTTCATACCTCTAGCACCTAGTGTAATGCCTGGGTCATGAGAATCTTTAAAATCTTCAATTCATTTTCATTTATTATTTATTACATCTGTATGTGGGCGTGTGTGTGTGTGGTATTTACACGTTCATGGGTGTGTACACAGGTACATTCTGGGTACATGTATATAGAAGCCAGAAGTTGGTGCTGGTGACTCCCTCTAGTGTTGTTCACATTACTTTTTAAAATATTTCTTTCTTTGTCTGCTATTTGCGTGTGGCCATGTGAGTGAGTGAGGATGCCTGTAGGTCTAGAAGGGCTTTTTGGAGCTAGAGTTATTGCTGTTATGAGCTGCCTAACATGGGTACTAGGAGCTAAACTCCAGTCTTCTTGATGGAGCAGCGAGCTCTAACCTCTGAGCCATCTCTCCAGCCCCATCCATATTCCTTTTTGAGACAGGGTCTTCCATTGGGCCTGGGATTTGCTGTTTAATTAGGCTGGCTGGCCAGTGAGTGTCAAGGACCCTCCTGTCTCCACCCCAACACTGGGATTACACAGCATGGGGTTCCCAGTTCAGGTCCTCATACTTGCGGGGCGAACACTTTCCTGACTCAGCTCTTTCCCCATCCCCTCCAAGAATTACTCTCAGGACATCTTGGCCAAGCGTACTGATCAAGTGGGGATTCTCTCCTTCTAGACAAATGAGCTTGTGTTGGGTTTGGAGGATGACGACACACTCCTGCTGAGGGAAGACAGAACGCTGAAGGACTCAGGAATCGGTGAGAAGCCTGGGGTGGATGGAGGGGCATTGGGCTTCCCAGCCTGTGTGCAAGGACCCCTGGATGATAGTATCTGGAAAAATCTCCCAAAGCAAAGCCCCTGTGCTGAGATTGCTCTGCGTTCTGACCCTTTGACCGAGGACACTGGAATTCACTCTGCATACGTTCAGAATGCAAATAAATAGTTCTTTTCAGGTTTGGTTGGAACTCCGGTGAGGGTCATTTCAGATGATTGACAGGCTATTAGTACAATAACTACTGACTGTCATCAGCACTATTGGAGAGAATTGGACCTAGTGGACCTAATATAGAATCAGGAAATGAGATGTTGTTTGTACAACATGAAGCGTAACTTCTGATATTCACTCAAGACTCTCAGGGCCAGCCAAGCTGTGGAATTTAAACTATAAGCCTGGTGTGTACAGTGGGGAAATTACCTGATTTAGCCTTTCAGCCTAGAATGTGTGTTCAGTTCTGTTTGAAAGAAATGCTGTGTGGTCCATCTCCTGGCCATTAGATGTCAGTGTTATTCTACTTACGCCTTCAGTGTGTGCATGGATATGAGCAGGGGTTCTGAGCAGAAGGCACACGCTGCCTGTGACATACCTCTGTGGTTAGAGAACAAGATGGTGTCACAGTGCACACCGCACACCTCGTTAGGTTCCCGTGTACGGTAGGTAAGAAACACGGACAGTGAGGGCTACACTGTGTTGTTGTTGTTGTTCTGGACAACTGTTCTTTGAGTCACTTTCCACGTCAGGAGTTCATGTTTGAAGGATTCACGTGGTCTATGTGAATTCCTGACAGTGATGTCTCCACTGGGGAGATGGCTCAGTGAGCTTTCTGTGCAAGCACAAGGACCTGAGTTCAAGGCCAGCCTGCTCTACAGAGCTAGTTCCAGGACAGGCTCCAAAACAATACTGAGAAACCCTGTCTCAAAAAACAAAACAAAAACAAAAACAACCAAACAAACACAAAGCTGAGTGTGGCTATGTATACCCCTGTAACCTCAAAGGGTGGGAAGTGTAGATAAGAGGGTCTCTAACCAAGGCTCGATGGCTGCCAGTTGCTTCAGATTCGGTGAGAGACCCTGCCTCAAGGGAAGAAGATGGCCAGCAGGACAACTGATGTCCTCTTTTGGTCTCTGTACACACAGACTCTTGCATCTCCATGGGCGTTTACACACACGCACACACACACACACGCACGCACGCACGCACACACACAGACACACACACACAGACACACACAGACACACACACACACACACACAGACACACACACACATACACACACACACAGACACACACATACACATATACACACACACGCACACGCACACACACGCACGCACGCACACACACGCACACACACACATACACACACACACATATATACACACACACATACACACACATATACACACACACACACACACACAGACACACACATATACACACACACACACACACACAAAATGTTGGGTTATGAAATCATAAACTTGATCTCTGTAGTAAGTCTGCATAATTTGCTGCAATTAGTGCCTGTTTATATTATCAATATAGTAGATTAATTGTTTTTTGAAATTAAAAATCATTTTTCTGTCTCGATGAATTATGCACAGGAATCGTTTTCTCCGATGCTTGTATCATTTTCTGTAACTTCATCCAGGATCAAGTTCCCTGGAAATAAATCAAACCTGGGACTATTTATAATGACTTCTTTCTTGGCATGGGGGTGCATGCCTTCATTCCTGGCACGGGGAAGGTGGAGGCTGGAGGATCATGAGTTTCAGGTCATCCTGGGTTACATAACCATTGCAAGACTAATCTGGACTATCTGCTGAGAGCCTGCCTGTAAATAAATAAATAATGAATTAATGTTTCTACTGTTTTGAAAAAGTCATATACTAAATAGGTATTGAATGTTTATTTTGTGTCAGTGAGAAACGATTTTTAACTTGACCCTTGGTGTATCAAAAGCATCTTTTATAGCGAGTGGCACTTGTCTAATTGAGACTTCTCGAACCTAGAAGAAGCTTGGCTTGCTTTAAAAGCCGTCACCAAAATGGTCGTTACAGACCGTTTTTGATGTGGGAATGGGTAGGTAGCTCAGCGTAAAGCAATGTCAAATCCAGTGCAAACTGTAAAAAGACTATGATATAATAAAGTTGACATCTTGCAAATAAGCAGGGAAGAAATGAATTAGCCAAAAGACTATGTGAGTTTCTAGGAAATAAATTTCAAATCTTTAACTCAATCTCTATTTTAAAAAGAAATTCTAGCTGAATTCATGGTACAATGTAAAAATAACTTTAAAGTACTTTTGCTTGCTGGGAATAGTGGCGCACGCCTTTAATCCAAACACTCAGGAGGCAGAGGCAGAGGCAGGTGGATCTCTCTGAGTTTGAGGACAGCCTGGTCCACAGAGTGAGTTTCAGGACAGCCAGAGCTACACGGGGAGACCATGTTTCAAAAACAAAATTTATACTTTTTTTTTTGTACACATCTGTGTGTGTGGGGGTGGCTGGGTGTGTGGTGGTCTGTACCTTGGTAAGCGCATGGAGGGCAGAGGACTGACTACCTGTGGAAGCTGGCTCTGTCCTCCCAGCAAGTAGGTCCCAGGGAATGGAACTTAGGACTTCAGTCTTGGCAGCAAGTGCCTCTATCAGTTGAGCCATCTTGTCACCTAATAAAAACATGAGTTCATGACCTCAGAGGAGAGGCCATAGAGGGCAAAAGGTGTCCCTAAAGATGATAGAGGCTGTGTTGGCTAGTTTTATGTCAGCTTGACATAAATTAAAGGCATTCAGGAAGCAAGATTCTCAGGTGAGAGAACGCCCCCCAGACTGGCCTGAGGGCAAGCCCGTGGTACATTTTCTTAATTGATAATTAGTGTGGGAGGGCCCAGCTCACCATGAATGGTGTCACCTCTGGACTGGTAGTCAGGGTGCTAGAAGAAAGCAGGCTAGCAAGCCACGAGGAGCAAGGCAGTGGGCAGCTCCCTCCCTGGGCTCTGCTTCAGCTCCTGCCCTAGTCCCTGCCCTGCCATGACTTCTCAACGATAGACTGTGATGTGAAACTATAAGCTGAAGTAACCCCCTTGCTCCCCAATTTCTTATGGTCATGGTCTTCCTCGCTGCAGTGTAAACCCTAAGTAAGACACAGACCTAAGGGAAGAGTAACAAACTATGAATGCGCATGTTAAGTATGTTAGATGACGCATAAGAAATGGCTAGTCCCACGGAGGAACTCTTCAGGACTTGGAGAGGTGAAAGGTAAAGTGTTTACTGGGTTAAAAACCCAAGTTCAATCCCTAGCACTCACAGTAAAATGAGGGGAAGGGAGGGGAGGGGAAAGGAGGGAGGGAGGGAGGAAGGAAGGCAGGAATGAAGGAAGGAAGGCAGGCAGGCAGGCAGGCAGGCAGGCAGGAAGGCAGGCAGGCAGGCAGGCAGGCAGGCAGGCAGGCAGGGTGCCGTAGTCCACTGTGCTATCTCAGCGCTGGGGAGGTGGACACAGGAGGGTCCCTGGGGCTCACTGGCCAGCCAGGCTAACCAGTCAGTGAGCTCCACGAATAAGGTGGAAGATCTGGAGAGATGGCTCAGTGGCTAAGAATATACACTGCTCCCGCAGAGGACCCAAGTCCAGATCCTAGCACCCATACTGGGCGGCTTGTAACCTCCTATAACTCAGATTCTCATACCCTCTTCTTACTTCCATGACTACTGAGCATGAGCACGGGTACACACGTATGCCCGTACATACACACACACACACAATATTTTTAAAAATTAATTTAAAGGTAAAAAGAAAAATAAGGTGGAAAACAACTGAGGAAGATTTCCGATCTCAAATTCTGTCCTCCATGTGCACGCACACACACACATGCACACACAAAGAGATACATGCACCTGAACACACACACACATACACACACAGAGATACATGCACCTGAACGTGTGTGTGTGTGTTTATACATACAACATAGACATTCATGCAAACAACCTTGTAGCTAGTATAGAAAAGATAAATGAAAAACTATATGGATTGAAGGAACAGTTAGCATGTCAAAAATAGTTCCACACATTTGTTAGGGTGACAGATGCATGCTGAAACAGATGTTGTCTATGTAGCAGAGCCAAGGAGGTGAGAGTTATACCCTAGCCCCCAAGGCTTGGCCTCAGAACCCATTTATGTCCATTATGTCCATCTGGGTGACCTTGAACAACCAGCCATTAGTTCCAGACTGGCAGTCATAAATAAACGGTGAGCCCCAGGGAGGTTGCAGTAAGGGAAAGGACTTTCTCATGCGCATCTGCTGAAGACTGTTCTTCCTCCTGGGCTCCGTGGTCCAGGACCGCTTTCCTTGTATCTTTTAGGTCTATAGGAGCTTGCCTCCTCAGGGCCACCTTCTGAAGGGCCCCAGGTTCCCTCTCATGTTTCCTGTCTGAATCACTGGCGCCGGTAGTTATCCCATGGATAGAGTGGATTGTGTAATGTCAACACCATTTAAAACATACACATGGGGCTGAAGAGGTGGCTCAGCAGTTATGTGTACTTGATGCTCTGCCAGACAACCAGCGCCTGCATCCCAGCACTCACAACTGCCTGTAACTCCAGCTGCAGGGAATCAAATGCCCTCTTTCTGCCTGTACCCCTCCCCCAACACACAATATACACACCCACTCACAGACACACATGCACACATACTTAACCACATTTAAATATTTTAAAATAATAAAGGGTGTGTAATCCATATTTGTAGGTGTGTGTAAAGGAAGGATCATATGCCAGCCAGCCAGTGAGCCCTGGAAACCTGCCTGTGTCCACTCTGGGGGGGGGGGGGTGTTACGAGTGTGTGCCCTGCATCTGGCCTTTTTTAAAATGTGGATTTTGAGGATGGCGTGCAGGTCCTGATGCTTACAAATCAAGTGCTTTACCCATTCTTGTTTTAAGGCTTTGATCAGACTTTGATCCAAATTGGATCCTTTTTGTGGGCTC